GAAAGGGATGCGTCACTATCTCCAAAACCCAATTCTATTAGCAAAGGACACAGCCGATTATTTAGCATTATTTGAAAACTACACTTGTAAAGTCTGTGCAAAGAAACCTATAAGAGAATGCCTGGTGGGGCCCATTTATCTTAAGCGATATGTAAATTGAGGCACAGTTTCCTCTTTAAAGCTCAGGGTTTCCCTCTTCAGGCAACACCCACCAACACAAAGTTTGTGCTGGTGATTTACAGAATTCTCTGCTATCAATTACCCTCCATTCATTAGAGGGAGCAACAATGTTCCTGTGCTTAAATCTGGTGTCCTTTCTATTAATGCTCAGAGGTAATCCTTTCTTAACCATTTGGGTTCTTTTTCTTTTAATTCTTACATGCAGGAGAGCTAACTGAAACTTCTTTCATTTTAGGAGTCCAGTCCCAAGTCCAGTTGGTGGAGTCTGGAGGGGATGTGAGAAGACCTGGGGAGTCCCTCCGTCTCTCCTGCCAAACCTCTGGATTCATCTTCAGCAGCTACTACATGAACTGGGTGAGACAGGCGCCAGGGAAAGGACTTGAATGGGTGGCACACATAACCCCTTCCAGTGCTACTTACTATTCAGACAAAGTGAAGGGACGCTTCACCATCTCCAGGGACAATGCCAAAAGCCAGCTGTATCTGCAAATAAACAGCCTCAAAGCCGAAGACACAGGAGTCTATTACTGTGCAAGACACACAGTGAGAGGAAGTGAATCAGAAGCCAAGCAAAAACCTTCCTTTCTTCACTCTTCAACTTTATGGAGCCCCACGTCCTGGATTAGTCAATGAGGATTGNAAATTCAAAATTTGTACTACCAGTTTTGTGGGCTTGGAGTGTTAGGCATGATAGGGGAAGGATACTGCAAAATCCCCATTCCCTTCCTACTCCAGTGGAAAGGATACTGTAGAATCTCCATTTCCTCTCCACTCCAGGGGAAGGATACTGCAAAATCCCCATTCTGTCTCTACTCCAGGGGAAGGATACTCCAAAATTCCCATTCCCACCCAACTCCAGGGAAAGGATATTGCAAAATCCCTATTCATACTCCTCTCCAGGGGAAGGATACTGCAAAAACCACATTCCCATCCCACTCCAGCGGAAAGGATACTGTAAAATCTCCATTTCTTCCCCACTCCAGGGGAAGGATTCTACAAAATTTCCATTGCCACCCCACTCTTGGGAAGGATACTGCAAAATCTACATTCCCTTCCCACTCCACGGGAAGGATACTGCAAAATCCCCATTTCCACCCCACTCCAGGGGAAGGATACTGCAAAATCCCAATTCTGTCTCCACTCCAGGGGAAGGATACTCCAAAATACCTATTCCCACCCAATTCCAGGGAAAGGATATTGCAAAATCCCAATCCCTCCCCCCACTATGGGGCCAAATGGAGGTGGTTTTTGCTGGTTCTCAGAACTATTCAAAATTTCCGCTACTCCTTCTCCAAAACCTGTCAGAACCTGCTGAATTTTACCCTGACTAGGGGTGATCTTTTCTGCATTAAATCTATATCATATGAATTGGGATCCTGTAAATAGGTTCACTGAGCTAATCTTGGAAACAAGCTTGTGAATTCTTTATTTAGATTTTGGAAGTTTTAGGAAGCTTCCCCTCAGCACTTTCGACACAGGGGAGGAGGACAATGAGCCACATGAAATCCCATTGCCTATATGGGGGGGAGACGGGAGGTAGATAATACTTCAATTATCAATGGCTCTTTCTCCACTTAACTTACAAGGAAGAGAAATGGACTGGAATGTTAATTACGAAATGGACATACAAGTTACGTTGACTGAAATGTAGTAGGCAATGCCCTAAGGCAGGGGTGTCAAACTTGATTTAAATCTGGGCCACATCAGGATTTTGTTTGACCTCGGGGTGTGTGTGGCCAGGATGGGCTTGGCCAGCTGAATGTCACTCGTGTTGGGGTGTCTATGGGGGCCCGGATACTCTACCAGCCAAAAAGGGGCTTCCAAGCCCCACCTTTGGCTGCAACAGCGTCTTGCAACCTTCTGCCAGCAAAAATGGAGCTTGCAAGGTCTACATGTGCCCCTCCTGAGCTCCATTGTTGCAGGCTTTCGAACCACCGGACAGTCCTTTGCTCTTTTCAGAGCAGAGCTGCAGGCCAGGTGTAAGCACCTTGTTGGTTGGATCTGGGCACCTGGGCGTTGAGTTTGACACCCCTGCCTTAGGGCATTGCCTAGTACATTTCAGTGAATGTAACTTGTATGTCCATTTCGTAATTAACATTCCAGTCCATTT